GCCCGGTCTTGCTCAATTCGGTCTGGTACTTCACTGCCATCCCGTCTTCGTTGCGCCGTCAGTACTATGCGATTGCAACGCTTGGGCCGGCGGCTGTCAGACTCTTGGGCAGCAGTGACGCGACCACTTCATGAAATGTGGAGGAAGTCATCTCGAATCCCAGCTGTTTCATGGTGGAGTCCGGGGCTTTGATCTTGACTACGACAGTACGTCACTGGTTACTTAGGCAGCTGTGGGATCCAGTTTCAGCACCCTTAGAAACCTAAGTGTACGCTGCGATACCATTCCATGACCGTGGAGTTCATTCCCATATATTTCTTGGATAGTACGCATGGATATTCAATACATGTAAGTTTCAAGGATCCCGTCCCGGTCCCGACAAGCGGTGTCTCTACGGCACGTCGGGACTGGCCGGAGTTCTATCCTTCTGGCAGAAGCTTGGAGGCGTACCAGCTGCTCGCACAGACGCGTTCTTACCAAATGAACCCTGGAATCCAACCTGATGGAGACGGATTGCCGCTAGTTTTGTCCAGTAGTCGAACTTTACGCTGATTATCCCCAGGCTCTCAGCGTATTTGCTCCGAGAGTCAAGCCAGCGCTACATTGTTACTACCCTTGGACGTTTCAAGGCAGACCTTGGATGGCACTGCGGTAATCAATCATTGTATCCGTCTGATGATCACCGATGGCTTGCAGCATCGTCGCCAGGATCAAGCCCTCTAGGGTTTCGAATGCGATTCAAGAAGGCAGGTGCTTGCTTGCTCAGGCAAACACAGGTAGGCGATCGATCGGATGCTGTCGCTGATAGCGGCCGAAGAACTGGATCATCACGACCGGATGTGACCGACTGCCACAGCTCGACTACACAAGTGCGAGAATCTTTCCGGTTTCATTTCGATGCAGCTTTGCGATGGTGCATCCACCTCGCACACCCTTTACAAGCAGGCTACATGATACCCAGACACCTGTAACCCCGCCCAGGCGTAACCTGGTCACCTGGGGAGGACTTTAGTCCATGTACCACAATCATCGCTTTCTCTGCCGCTATCGTGATAGCGCTTCTGGCCCAAGGAAAGATTCCGCTAGTCGCGGGTATAAACAGCATGTGAACGCGGAAGCCCGCTGTACTGTGGAGATATTCGGAAGCGCAGATGAACAGCAAGGATAAGGACCAACCCGTCACTACTGTCGTTCACTATAGCGGTGTTCCGTCCGCCAGGTCCTTCGTATTCCTGCAGGATTCGAGTCTATTCCAAACACCCCGGCGAAAACACGTTACAACCGTTCCAATGTTGCATTGACGTGGCTTGCGCATCAGCACATCACCAACGAGCGACGCGCACATGCAAAGTGCCCCTGCGCTGCGCTTGCGCATACCGTAAGGAGTAGCGACATAGGGTGCGCATTGTTTGGATGCCGGCTCGTTCCTGAGCTACGACTGCAGAAGTACGAGGTCCTGCAGTTCTGTCGCATGTGCATGCGCATGTGAAGTTCGCGTACGAAGTAAGCGCATGTCAATGCTGGAAGCGCTTAGGCACGGCTCGAGCGTGGGGGCCTGACCGATGATAGGAATGCTGCGTGAGTGGCTCATTGTCGGACGTCGGAAATCTCCATATCGATCACCTTTGCTGAGTTTGCAGGAGGTTGCGGCACGTGCTGGGCGACTGTCTCGGTTGACGGATGTCTGTTTACCTGGGTATAACGAGCCCTTGAGGTTTGTTGCGCGGAAGCAGTACCTAGGTATTGTGAATCTCCATGCGACTGTCAAACGTGCAGTAGTACTACAAAGCCCAGACTGTAGCCGCTAGATGCAGCCGGATTCTAACAGCATCTGTAAAGTCTCTCGATTTGCACTCGACACAGCGTACCAAGTTTCTAATCACCAACGTTGAGACCTCGAAAAGCGTCCCGAAAAGGTAAAGTTACCGAGGTAACTTGCGAGCACCTACCCCTTCATCTCAGAACCATCTCGTACTCCCAACGGCAAGCACAGCGCACGATCGAATAAACTTCTACGGTACACAAACTCTCTCGGAGTGACAAGACAACGGAACCATGATAGAGGTCATCTACATCGTCCGGCACGCGGTACGTATTAAGCTAACCTCCGTCACCGCACTTCACGCCCTCCGATGCTTTTACACTGTAGTCGAGGAAAGTCTTCCGTTTCAGGCAGCTACTTCTGAGCCATCTCCGTCCTTGCATTACCTCCGCAAACATCTCGCTTCCCTACACCTTCGCGTGTATCACATGAAACGCCACCCTTCACACTCGCACATGCAGATCTGTCCCCTAGCATGGCACTCTTCTAACGTGTCCTCCGGGGTATCTAGTTTCGCGCCAACTGGTCCGTAGACCCCCAAACGGGTATCTACACCGCGTCCATGGCGACCCCGACCGGAATCCCCACTGATCCGCCTCTTACGTCCAAAGGGGTGGAGCAGAGTAAGGAGTTAGCCGAGTACCTGAGCAAGATCGAGCCGCCAGTGGACAGAATCTATTCTAGCCCCTTCTACAGGTGTCTGCAGACGCTCAAGCCGTTTAGTGATAAGCTATTCAAAGAGGGCAAGGCAAAAGGAAGGATACGGATCGATCGCGGTATTGGGTTCGTGCATACTGAGTGACACAGAGGTAGGTACTGTGCTGACGAGTGCGTAATAGCGAGTTCTTTGGACGCGCACATTTCGAACATCCTACTCCGCCGCACCTCGAGCTCCTGACACCTCACTTCCAGAACCTTGACGACGAGTATGCATCTGTACATATGCCAGGCTCCAACGGCGAGATGATCGTCGAGCTCCATGAGCGTGTCAGGAACGCATTTGATCACATTGTCACAACTCTAGACAACGACCCCGAACAGCCAAAGACTGTCTTGCTGTGCACTCATGCCGCGACTATGATAGCAGCCGGTCGGGTACTTACTGGACAGATGCCAGAAAACCCTGATGAAGATGATTTCCAATGCTTCACTGCTGGTCTGTCAAAGTACGCAAGAAGATCAGCCGATCCAGAGAAGGGCGTCGCGGGAAACTGGACTTGCGAACTAAACTCCGAAACATCCTTCCTCTCGGGTGGAGCGGAGAGAGGCTGGTAAGTGCAATGCTGTTTCTTTGTCGTTCTATCTCGTGCTGCATCCTTATAACATCCAGGTTCTTTCCTTATCACAGGAAAGACTGGCCAAGGTCAGAACCCACAATACACGGTTGGGGTACCGCGTCGACGCTTCTCAACATTCAGCTCCCACACACCCCAATCAGCGAGCACCTCCCGATGCCCCCGTAACCTTACGTCACGGCAAGTGGCTAACGAGCGATGATGACAGGCATTTCAGCGGCGAGGAGAGCTTCGTGGACTTCTCAGACACTGGTATGAAAGGTGACGGGGAGTCGAAATTATGAGGGTGCGGCACGTTGTACTGGGGATGCACATGCATGCAAATTTACATTGCGTTGCATACTTATGCGGAGGGCTATGGTTCAGTAGAAGTCTACAATAACAACTACCATGTGTAAAATGAGAGCCCCATGCACTCGGCTCTACTTCACCCCTCCCTTGCTATAAATCCTAAGATCGACCGTTCCCGTCCGTCAAGTACCGAAAAATGATGTGCCGGCCTGTACCTGACCCACAGTCGTTCTGTCGGCCCATCGTTGGGTTTGCGCAACGTTGTGGCGAGCACGTGGGATGTTTTGAACCCAGATGTGAGTCCGCCGCGCGGTTAATCGCTGTGGGAGCGGGGCGCATTGAACCGACCCGACAGGAACCCTGACCTGACGAATTGGTTAAGAGAGTCCAACGTGCGTGTCTAGGTAGGTTAGATATTGAAGCTCCATGATGATTTTTTGGTGGGAAGAAGATGCGTTGGGTTGGCAGTGCACAGGATGGGGCGGGTCTAACAGCTGGGAAGGCGTGAGTGAATATTACCGGAAAGAGTGACGGGACAACACCATGGCGACTGCAACGATACCTTCCACGAGCAGGAAACGAGCCTGGTATGGAGACTGAACGACATATCACACGTCGGATTGCCGTTACCAAAACACTAGGTATTAGCCTTCTACATATGGGTTCCTGACCCCATCATCATCCTAACACGCGGAGGTTCATTCGCCTAGTCGCCGTACACCCGAAATTCTCACCATCCTTGGTTTACTAGAACAACGGCCGCGTGCCGCCTTCTTACCTGTTTTCCGACCGCTGCGACGATTACCTCTACGTATCAACGCGAACCAGACTCCGCGATGCCACACTACGAAATCCACCACGTCCACTTCCTCAGCAGATACCAAAAGCGAGAGCTTTCCCATGCACTCACGGCCCTCCACGCACGCCTCTTCGGCACGACCCCATTCCTAGTCCTAGTAACCTTCCATCTCGCCTAGAAGGCTACCGGGGGTGGCCACACGGACTCAGACACGCAGTACATGACGCTCGGATACCAACGTGTCTGGACCAACTACATCAACGTACACTTGCAACCCAGCGCCAATACCAACCCGATCGAAGAGAAGCAAAGGCTCAATGTGCTGGCCGAGGGGATCAACAAGATGTGGAACAAATACGCAAGGCCCCACATGGGCCGGCTTCGTTTCTGGATATCGGACAGGCGCCGTGAAGAGATTGCGAATGCGGCCGATGTGAATGCGCCGGCGACGTTGCGGGACATCAGGTCGCTGCATGATGTCTTTGTCATGTGGGATGTTGCTGTGCATGTATCTGTGGACAAGATACGTGAATGATGCGGTTGCGGTGCAAGACAGGGCTAGGATTGAACGCGAGGCGATACAGAACCGCGTTGGGCAAATTGAGGAGCCAGATATGGCGATCGCCCAGGCGCGTAGGCTGGGAAGACTGCTTCGGACTTCAGGGGAGCCTGAGGCGAACGTGTGAGCACAATCAGCCTGAACCTTCTGGCATTGTGGGTATCTTCATCCAACGCCATCCTACCATACTATCTTCCCGATCCGATATGACCTTTACAACCCCAAGACATTGTCCTAAGCGCTCTTTTCCTCCCGTTTTGTGTCTCCATCTTGCTCTTCCTCGTCAACATGCATGCTTTCTGCAAACCCGACCCATTCGTTTATTCCCCTAACGAAGGCATCCCCACTTCCATCCACCTCGCCACCATGACCCCATATTATGACCTCGTCGAACTCTCCTACTTGTTCCGCTATCTTCACTTCCACGGGCATGCTCTCTTCCACCTCAGCGTCTTCGTCGTCCTCGTCTGCAGGCTGTTGTTGTTGTGTTCTCGTTTGCGGTAATTGCTTATCGGTGACATGCAGGATAGCGCCGGTGTAGTTCTGAGGAAGAGGAAGCGTCGTGCCGTGGAGGTGTCGACCGCGGAAGTATGCATGTCGCTTTCCTAGATAGATGTCAGATCTGGAATCCATGCAGATATAAGGTTTGAGAGTTACCTTTGTCATCTGTCTCGGGCTTCCAGTATCGTTCTGCATCGTTGATGGGTCCATTGTGGTTTATCCGCGCGGGGAGCAGATTCGATGTGCATTTTTGAGGTTTGGAGGATTGAATCGACAGCATGTTGATGGCTTTTTGACGTCGGAGATATGTGTATAGTGAACCAAAGAGTGATCTCTTGAGTGTTCAGTGATGTCCTAATTCGATTGTATGGAGGTATGTCGGAGTGCAGCATGTGAAAGGTGGTTTACGGCTCACGCGTCGACGCGCCGTAGCGTGTCTCCGCGGAGCACGGACCATCTTCAGACGGGGTGCTCACGAGCTCACAATGACGACGGAACCGCAGGCAAGCACACGGTCTTGGCTTGATATAATGAGCTCCCCATCCGTCTTCCCTCCACTACTCAATTCTAATCATCACCACAGTTGCCCGTCGCCAAGTTCACGCCTCCAAGGTCCCCTCTAGTGCAGCCCGGAGCCCGCGGCCGCCGTCGCTGTAGATTCACCGATCGGTCAGGTGCTGCCTACCATGCAGAGTTCTAAGGCCCGCAGCGCTCATGGACAACTCCAGAAGATACATACTACCTGTTATCGCTGGCCGCCTTGACTCGAAGTAGACCTGCGATTGCAAGGCTGAGACGCGTGATGAGTTGTGCCCCTGCATAACTTGCCCCTCTCACGCATGCCGGCGGAACATTTCTATGGACCCTGCACCGCGGCTGTACTTCACCCACCAACGTTCCATTCCACCATTACCTGAGCACACGTACTAGCAGCCAGATGCCAGGAACGGTTATGAATACGACGGCGTATTGCACCGGCCGCCATTCGGATGGCCTCGAACTCCGCGATCATTTAGGGATTACATTGATCTTACGCCGTTCGCGATTTTTAGGCGGATCGACGGCGTCATAGATCACTCGAATTGGCAAGGTTTCCTCGCCCGATACTGCACCTCAGACAGAATGCAACACGCATGGCTTCGAAACGGCGCAACCGGACGCACCGTGTCGGCTTTCGGCCGTTCCGGCGATATGACGGCGAGCTACCTGGACTCTCAAATGCACTCTGGCGCCATGTACTAGCCGAACAGCTACCGTTACTCGACTTTCTTCTCAGTTTTGCTTCCAGGCGCGTTCACGATACCATTGTCGCATTGCTTTTGGACGATTGACGCACTAATATTCCTCCACCGCCATCCCACCCTGCAGCTTCCTATCGTGTAACCAAGTTCAGTCTGTTTGAGACACCCTCATCCTGCGAATCGCGTTGAGGCCACGCTTCTTTCGACTAGGAATTGTTCAGTACCCCTACTTTGCGCTCGAGGACCCTTCAATTGAACCTTCAACGCTTGCGCGAATCGCACACATCTTGAATTATGGCGATTATAAGCTCTGTGACGGGAGCTGTGTCTTCACTACTTAGCCCAGTCACATCGCAAGCCTGGGGACCACTGGTGAATCTATGCAAAAATGGTACTCTTTCGCAATTTCAGAACCTAAAGCATGGCAAGCTGGTGTTGTTTGAGGGCGGCTCGAGCAAGGCTACTGCGGCGTTTGGATCTGATAAAGAAGGACTCCCAATCGCTTTCCTCAACGTGCTCGACGAGAAGTTCTGGGTGCGATTGGCACTGTTTGCAGACATGGTGCGCCCCAAAACACTCATGACCATCCGAAAGAGCTCGCGCTGATAGCTGCCAGGGTTTCGCAGAAAGCTATATGCTGGGAGAATTCACAACTCCAGACCTGACGAAATTCTTCGAGGTAAGCTGCTGCATGGACTGAGCTCTGTGACACGCATCCAGCTTACATTCATAGCTCTTCATCCTGAACCGTAATTACCTCTCCAATGGCTCAACTTTCACCTCCGCCATCTCCTCTGGCCTCGCCGGCTTGGTTCGAGGCAGTAACAACCTCAAGAACGCGCGCCTCAACATCTCCGCACATTACGACATCTCCAACGAAATGTTCGCCGCCTTCCTCTCCCAAGACATGACCTACTCGTGCCCGATATGGCTACCGAAATCGAACCCGAAATCCGCAAGCGAAACCCTCTACGACGCGCAAATGCGAAAGCTCGATCGCTTCATCGATAATACACACATCAAGGGAACAGATCACGTTTTGGAGATCGGCACAGGGTGGGGCAGCTTCGCCATGCGTGCTGTACAACGGACAGGCTGCAGGGTCACGTCTCTCACCCTTTCGATTGAGCAAAAAGAGCTGGCAGAAGAGCGGATACGAGAAGCTGGCATGTCGGACAAGATCACAGTGCTTCTATGCGATTACCGAAGTCTGGAAGTACCAGAAACAGGACCCTTCGACAAGGCCGTCTCAATTGAGATGCTGGAAGCTGTGGGCAAGGAATATCTGGTCACATACTTCAAGTGCATAGACAAGCTTCTCAAGAAGGAGGGCGGTGTAGCATGCTTCCAATGCATAACCATGCCCGACGCGCGCTACGAAGCGTACGCCAAATCCGACGACTTCATCCGCCGATACATTTTCCCCGGTGGCCATTTGCCCGCCGTTTCCGAGCTCGTCGCTAGCATACAAACCGCTTCAGGCGGCTCGCTCGTCGTCGACAGCATAGAAAACATCGGCCCCCACTACGCGAAGGCGCTGCGGTTATGGCGCGAAGAATTCTTGGATAACTGGGAGAGCAAGATCAAGCCGCAGCTTATCAAGGAGAAGGCTAAGGAAGGAATGGACAATGAAGGCGCGGAGATTTTCAAGAGGAAGTGGGACTACTACTTCCGATACTCGGAAGCGGGCTTCTCGACGAAGACGCTGGGTGATGTTATTATTACGGTTGGGAGGGAAGGCGCTATGCAGATGATGGAGGATGTACCATTGTAAATACGGTTCTCGTCGTATGCATGGAGGCGGAGAAATGTAATGGTGAATGTTGTTTGAAATGGCATATACCCCCCTCTGTGGTATCACTGGACAGTCGTGCCGGGGAATAATCATGAATGTTACAACGATGCTATCAATCGCTCTTCTATCTGCCTCCATACCCATCCTCAAATTCCGGCAATGCCGCCCGATACTCCATGGCCAGCTGGCTCGAGTCGAAACTCTTGCTCACAGCATGCGAGCCAGTTTGGTTTTGCGTAGCAAAGTAATGTCCCATGCCATCTACATCCTTCACCTGCCCGAAATTGGCGAACTGAGAATTGTACTCAGCACACGCGCTATCCAGCGGTGACATGTCCAAATTCGGTGGTGATGCCGGCGCAGAGGATGGTTGATATGCTTTGTAGAACGACAAAGGTGCTGGCGTAAGAGTCGGCGATGCGAGCCCGTCGCTGATGATGGACGCTAGACTGGGTGCTGAAGGCTGTTGTTGTGAGTATCTTAATGCATTCGTGCGCGTTATGGAACCGGCTGGAACGGAAGTCTGTGGTGTGGTGGAGTGACGGTGAGATGCGTTGCCGATTGAAAGACTTGCTGGTAATGTAGTGAACGGAGCAGAGTGTGCGCGAGGTACCAATGGTCTGTTCGTCTCATGTGGTTGGATCGTCGCTGGTGGAGGAGAGGTGCATGGGTGATTGCTGACTTGAAGCGCGGCATCGATGTTTGCTGAGAGCTCCGCGAGGATGTCGTTAGGTGGGGGTGTTCCGTTGACTTCGAAGGCTGGAAGTGAAGTATTCGATGCCGTACTAGTTTTATTGATGGCTGGTGATGGCTTGCTTGAAGTAGGCGGTGATTGATATACCCCTTCGGATCCCACAAGATGGAGTTTTTGCGTCTCTCCTTGCGACTTGTCGCATGCTGGTGCCTCGCCATCAGGATTCACCATGTGAAGTCTACTAGACCGTTGCTCTGGCACGGGGGCACTTGAGTTTTGTGGAGGGGTCTTGCGCGGGATCTGATGTCTGAAACTAGTACCGGGCATCGGGGGAGTTGTGAGCATGGGCGCATGTTTCGCTGGAGGCTGGGCCATGCGGGTTCCTGTAGAGACAGGTCGCGACTTTAGACACTGCTGTCCTACTTGATGCATCGCGACTGGATCGATATTTGTGACCGAATGAGAGAACGCGCGTTGGTGCTGGGAAGATGTAGGTATCCGTAGCTTGAGCTGCTTATTACTGGATGCCTGAGCGTGTGGGTTGGCTGCATCCCGAGCGTCGGTAGGACTGGTCCGTCTAATATTTGGAGCACTGACTACGCGGTATCTGGATGCTGAATCTTTTGACGCAAACGTTGTTTGTGGAGACGGCTGCATAGGTTGTACAAGCTTTGGGGCTGTCTGTGCCGTACGCATGTCTGGTAATGAGGCGCGCGCAATTCCCTGAGACGTTGTAACTCCAGAAGCGGAATGCGATCGAGGGTGGATTACGTCCGGTTGCGAAGGGGCTAACGTCTTGAGTGATGGAGGCTCCTGCGCCAGCAATGTTTGGTAGCATTTGCGTTGCTCTTGAACGGGAAGCTTGTTGAGGAAAGCTGTACGCAAGAAGTTCTCTTCAACGATTTTCGGTTGTAAGTGACAGCGGATCGCCTCTACTTGGCTCCTATAGAGTTGGCATAGGAATAAAATTCCCTCCCGTGGATCCCAAGTTAGACTGCGAATTTGACAGAAGTGGAGCAGTGTTCTGACGAGATATAGCATGTTCAACGCGTAAAATGTCTTCAACACCCCATCGGCTCGGAGACTCAATAGTACGAGGTTATTCGCAAGGCTCCCGCTGGGCGGTGTCTCACATGAGCCTGCGCACGATTAGCAGGATGCCACAACGGGCTCAGGTTTGACTGACCAGATGGTACTAGAGTCACTTCTATTATCGCTGGATTTGTACATCCGGTATCTAAGAAGCTAGGGCCGGTTTGTACTAGTATCTTGGAGGGAGACAAAGGACTCACGCCCTCTGGCAGTTGTATACTGTCGCTGTCAGCCCGTCATCTTTGAGGGAGGTAAGTATCACCTACCGCCGATCGCCTTCTAGTTTCTTCTTGATCCGATTGCAGTCTTTGTCGTCGTACGCAATGAAGATATTCCGTACCCCACACCTATGTCCTAAGCAAAGTAAAGCAAGCTCACCCATGACAGCATAAGTAAACTTCTTGCTTTCAAATAGTCGACGGACATGACTTGCTGCCGCCAGCATATTTGATTGGCAT